AGACGAGAGGTCGACTTCGACACTTACTAGAGGTCCAATGATGATACATCAATAATATAACAAGTCAAGGGTTTATATAAACATGAATGTAATTCAATAGAGTGAAGCAAGTAAACAATTCTTTCTTTTACATGAAAATTTCCAATTTCCTTTTTCATCATTTATACATATATTCTCAAGATGGGAAGAAGCAATATCAACTTCAGTAAATTACAAGGCAAGCAATACAAGCATGCGCAAATCATGCTGAGGCCGTACGGCCCGATCCAACAATATTTAAATTGTGCACTGCCACAGGGTCGAATGGCGCGAACCATAGATGCATCTATTACCCCGCTCGCGAATCATACATGCGATGCGGTCAAATACAAATAAACAATCACCCTGCTCGCGAATTATACATGCGACGCAGGTACACATCGAATCACATATTTAAACAGTTAATCAAGACATTCGTCAAGGAAATAATTATTCAAGGAGGTGTAAATTCCCCTTTTTACAAGTCAAGAAAATGAAGTTTAACTCTTTTAGAAAATCGTTCGCCACTTCGATGTGATTTAAGCATTTTTAAATTTGTCAACAAGGTTGCATTTATTACAAGTAAGCATGCTTTTGGGTCCTAAACTACCCGGACATAAGCATAATAGTAGCTACGCACGGACTCTCGTCACCTCGTGCGTACGTAGCCCCCACAAATAGGAGCACATAACCAATTAACTCACCTATGGGGAAAATTACCTCTTACAAGATTAGAAAGGAGACTCACCTAGATCCGAAGCCTATATCCCAATTTAAGAACGCGCTCAAACCTCAAATTGGAGCCGAACGATCCTAAACTATTCAAATGGGGTAAGAACTAGTCAATACATGCTCAAAAGTTCATATTCTAATTATTAAACCAATTTTCCAACACTAAATGCAAGGTTTCTAAAATTCATCCACGGGCCCACGTGCCCGGATTCCGGAATTTTTTTTAAGAAAGTTGTTACCCATAACCTAAGGATCAAAATATATGATTTTTACTCCATTCCATAACGAATTTCGTGGTCAAATCTCATTTTTATCCAAAACCTAGATTTTTCATCTAAACCCTTGATTTCACCAATTTTCACGTGTTAATCTAGCCATAATCTATGTAATAAACTCATGTTGTGTAGAAATTACTTACCTCGAAGTGCTAGGTGAAAACCCTCTTCCAAAAGCTCCAAAAATCGCCTAAGACCAAGTGGGAAGTGAAGGAAATGAGTTAAGTCTCGGGATAAAAAGCCCTGGGTTCCAGTCGCAGATGTCGCATTTGCGACATCCGGCTCGCAAATGCGATGTCGCATTTGCGACAAATGCATCGAAATGCGAAGTCTAGCCAACCCTGCCCTGGTCGCAATTGCGACAAGATTTTTCGTAAATGCGAAGGTGCGCAAAAGCGATCCTTCGTTCGCAAATGCGAACTTTCCCCTCAGAAGCCCAGGCTCGCAAATGCGAGCTCCATCTCGCAAATGCGATGATCGCATTTGCGACCAATTCCTCGCAAATGCGATCATACCAGAACCAGAAAGTCCAACTCCTTCACAAAACACTCCGAAGCTACTCCGAAACTCACCCGAGCCCCCGGGGCTCCAAACCAAACGCCCGCACAAGTCTAAAAACATAACACGGACTTGCTCTAAGCCTCAAATCACATCAAATAACGCTAAAACCATGAATCGCGCTCCAATTCAAGCTTAATGAACTTAAAAATTTCAAACTTCTACTTCCGATGTTTAAACCTATCAAATCACGTCCGATTGATCTCAAATTTTGCACACAAGTCATATTCGACATTACGGACCTACTCCAACTTCCGGAATTGGAATCCGACCCCGATATCAAAAAGTCAACTCTGGGTCAAACTTCCCAAAAACCTTCAAATTTCTATCTTTAGCCAAATGACTCCAAAATGACCCACGGACCTCCGAATTCACTTCCGATCGCGCTCTCAACACCAGAATCACCGTACAGAGCTATTCCCACACTCGAAATCCCAAATGGACATTGATGACACTGAGATGCACTTCAACCCAAACTTATGAAATTCTTCCAAAAATGCTAACTTCCACAATAGGTGCCAAAACGTTCTCGGGTCTTCCAAAACCCGATCCGGACATACGCCCAAGTCCTAAATCATCATACGAACCTGCTGGAACCTTCGAATCTCGATTCCGAGGTCGTTTACTCAAAAAATCCAATTTTAGTCAATTCTTTCAACTTAAAGCTTCCGAAATGAGAATTCTCTCTTTAAATCAACTTCGAACTTCCCGGAATTCAATTCTGACCAAGTGTACAAGTCATAATGCCTGAAGTGAAGCTACTCAGGGCTTCAAACCGCTGAACGACGCACTAGAGCTCAAAACGACCGGTCGGGTCGTTATAAAAATAGATTGTATATTATTTATTTTTTTAAATGAAAAAGTTAGTATTTGTGGCGACCCTTAGTCGCCTAAAAAGGAATACATGAAAATGAAGTTCTCTGTTGCGGCGACTTAATGTCGCTACTAAATTATTAGTGGCACCTTTTGTCGCTGCTAAAGTCCTCTTTTCAGTGGCGACCCACCTGAAATCCCTCTTGTGAATTGTTATTTGTGGCGTCTTTGTTTTCTTTTAGTGGCAGGTTAAGTCGCCACTACTGGCTCTTTCTGTGGCGACCACCAGAGTCGCCACAAGAAAGATTCAGTTACGCTAGTACTTGCAGCAATCCTGCGGTCTCCACTAAAAACCTATAGCATCGACTTTCTGGTCTTTTGTAGCGACTTTTGGCGCCGCTAAAAGCCTGATTTCTTGTAGTGATTTATATTTATATCAATTCTATTAATTCAAAATTTGAAAGGTTTTTTTTGTTAGAAAAGAAGTTTATTTGTCTTAAAACTCCAATTTGAAACTAATTCTCAATTTGAATTGGCAATTTTTTTTTATTTTAAAATAATTTTAGAACTCCAACTTTGTTGGCGCTTTGTCCTAAAAATCTACACTTGTCGTCTTAAGGTTATACTACTTGGCACCATATAATTATTTACTTCTTTTTTTATATATATAAAATAAAATAGATATTTATATAGACTACTATATTAGGAAGAAACTACTCCCCAATTTAAATTGAAAGTTTTGAATTTCTTTATTTCCATTTTTTTATTTTAAAATAATTTTGAAACTCCAACTTGAAAGTACTCCATATATATATATATATATATATATATATATATATATATATATATATATATATATATATATTCATTTTCTTATTATAGCTAATTATAAGTTATTTATATTTATTAAATCAAATAGAATAACCAACTAATTAATTCAAAATCTAAAATTCAAAAGGTTTTTAGTTAGAAAGTAGTTTGTTTTGTCCTAAAGCCACTTGACTTTTTGTGGTTATGCCACTTGTCTTAATATTGTGCTTGCCTCTCCTTTTATTATATATAGATCGATAGAATATATAGATTGAAGAGACTAAGGCCTAATCCTAGAGTAGACGGACATTTCGATTTCTAGTCCTAGGTAATTTACGTACAGGTATTTGGTGGTGGAAGTCATTTTTAAAAAAAATATTCTTTGAAGAGTGTTATATGTTTAGTACGTATATGATTGTAACAATCCATCAAAAGAAGGAAAATGGCTCATTTTTCTTATAACTATTTTATATTTTTAACTTCATATTATTTGCTTCAAATAACACTTAGAGATTATTATTAATCTTTTGGACTACAAAATCTCATCAACACACACTATGATTTTCTAATATTATTATTTTTTATAAAACTACTTTCTAGGGCCAAAAGTTTCACCCATATAATTTTCAAATTGTGAAGTAACCAAATAAAATCATAAAAGCCAATGGCGTGGCTGGCTGCATAACCTGAAGATATCCTATAATTATTTATTAAAAACGCGAATTTTTATGATCCCTAAATGCTTGGAAGTGTGCACATAATTGCACAGAAAACCAAAGTGTGAGAGTAGTATTTATTAGCGTACAACTAATCAAATTTATGTGATGTGAGGAAATTGATTGTGACATTTTTCTCAAAAACTAAACCAGAGTCACTCATTCCTCAGCCAAAAACAACATCAACAACATGAAAAGCTTAGATATATAAAAAAAATCATAGTATTAATATTAGGAATCTTTTTGTGTCTTTTGCTTGCATTCCATGTTAGTGATCCTTTTCAGCGTCATTTTCACCTATTTTTATTTGTTAGATACATATATTAGTCTCACTCAACAAACCGAAATGAGGGGAACAAGATAGAATAGTAGTAACTAGACGTAGGAAGTAATGAGAAAGTGCAAGAATTATATTATAGTATTTGTGCCTTGAATAACTCAAAAGACCGGTTTAATTGTAAAATAAAAAAACACTTATTATGATTAAATTGTCATATTTTACGTGGACAAGAGTTGTTCCAAAAAAAAAAAAAAAAATCACTAGATAATTGAAGGGAAAAAAATTTACTTTTGGATGAAATCTTAATATACTTATTATTTTTATATCAGCAAATTTGATGTTCACATGTAAATTCACAAGATATTAGTGCAAAGCTAAGATGAATTCGGTGTTGACTCGTGAACTGGTTTCATCCAAGAGATCAACATGTCAACATAATTATATAGAACATATCACTTGCACTTATCTCAAAGTCGATATTATAAGGCGGTGATACGTTGAATTAACGGGTTCCACTGCAATCTGATAATATTTTGCCAGAGAATATGATTTTAAATATATATGAGTGGTAACATTTATTTTACAAAAACTGCATACATACGTAAGCCACCATTACTTTAAAAATATCAATTTGGTACAAAAATTAAATTTAACTCAAGCCTAGCTACAACTCAAATCCAGGCCTAAATACAAGTTGAATTATGGCAAAAAAAAATACGTAATTCTTTTGACCAACATCTTGTGCGCTCGAAGTCATTAGTGAATATGGTCTTGCTATTTTAGGTGCCTGTGATAGAATGAATGCAACTTCGCTTTGTTCTTTTGTTTCCATATCTAAAAACTTAAATCATATGTTCGTTATTTGCTAGACTAATACCCAACATTCAATCAGGCTATGTAAGCAGAAATTTGGCTGAAACGAAGCCACAAAAAATTGGACCACTCAAGAACACCACGAACACCACATATAATTGGTGTGTATAGAAGAACAGTTCAAAGTTTTGTCTCCTTACTCCAGGAAGTGAAGTCACCCACATTAATAAACCAGCTGCTAGGCTGATAACTCCGGGAAAATTGGCTACTCTTATGTTTTCCACTGAATGAGCTGCATTAAACACAGTGACAAAGTCCAAGTCTTCAATTTCTTTACCAAGAATACTCACAAAGATGGATTACATGTGATGAACCCCCTTTAATATTTGAATTACAACTTAATACAAGGGATCTCTATGGGCTAAGGAAATAATTTTCAGTTTTAGAACTCACTTCCTCCAAAAGGCAGCACCCAGCCAATCACATAGAACAGGCCATGAAGGCTAAAAAGAGCCATAGTAAGATGTCCCAGCCAAACATGATATCGAGTGGCATGTTCAAAAGGAATATCTATAGCTCGAAGAAGAACTGAACCCCGTGCAACAGGCAGAAACAGAAATGCTAAGCAGATTAATCCAATGAATCCAAAACGAAGGCCTGTTAGCTCCAGCAACAGAACACTGGAAAATTACAACAGCAGATATTAGTCGATCCTGCTATTAAAGGAGCCTTCAAGTCAACAAACTATGTACTGGTTCTAAAGTCTGATGTAAGAACTATGTGGCTGGAACTGTTTATATCCCAATACTTCGAAACCTTTTGACATGGAAATCTCTTTTATATTTATCAAGATGCGCAATTATAAATTGAGGTGACAAAGAAGAGAGGACAGATCAAAAGAAGAGAAAATCAATCATCTTTTCCAATTTAAAATCACAGGTGGACTAGATAATGTGCAGCAAATGAACTTAAAAGATCCCTGTTTTATATAAGTGAAGTTAGTAAAATCAAACACATAGTCAGAATAGCCTGGAATTATCGTGTGATGCAGATAGTTAACAGTACTCAACTGATCTAAATCAGTTTGTTTTCGTTAGAGAGGGGCAGGAATAAACATAAGAAACTAGGATATATTTATTATTTCAATAGGTCGCATATCTTTAAACAGGCTCTAAAGTCATGTTTAGCTCAAGCTTCAGTAAATTGGAATCATCAACTACTCGAGAAGAGTGTCTCAGTACTTTCAGAACTCTACTACCATGCATATTTCTGGAGAACAAAGAGCTACTGTATAAGACAATATACGAACAAAGTTGAACCAAAATTTGAATTAAGGGCATATTGGATTGAAAAATTTCTGAATATAGAGCAAATGAAGGCCAGAAGGATGCAAAATAAATAGCTTTAAAGAATCATATCACGTAGTTCTATTGGAGAATGGATAATGATCTATATAGCCCAGCCATACATGTATATATAAAAGGATTAAGGTAACTTAGTTCACTGAAAGGATGACCATTTTGTCAAGCCGGAACAAAATGGTGCAAATTAAAGAACAGCAAGAGGTCTAAATGAGCAGGTTAACAACAAGCCCAAGCTCTTGAACATGGTGAACATCATTAGCAACTACTTTCTCTTCGGACACAGAGAAGCGAAAGTGAGAAATCCGACAAACCCAAACTAGCAGGTAACATGATCATGGTGATAGAATTACCTTTTCTCTTTCATGTCTTGAACATGAAATAAAGATAGAGGCCAACATTCCGTATACTGTACATAACTACAGCCCAGATGATGTACGCTGAGAAGAGTATAACACCAATCATTTCTGCAGCTGTAACAACCCCAAATGGTCCATCCACCAGCACCGGGAATGTCCACAAGCAAAAACTTGGACCTTTTGCAGTCTTCTTCCTACAGGCTACAACAATTTAAAATTCAAGTAACTACACAAGTTCAGAACATCCACTAACTTCTAAAGGAGTTCTATGAAGTAAGAAACCAAGCTAGCAGATATACATACACTTGGTGTTCATCTTCACCAGAGAGAACGAGGCGAATAATTGCAAGAAATGCAATCATGAAAATTGGGAAACTGAATATCAAGAATGTGCTTCCTGCAGTCCAACAAAAACTGATATCACTTACTAAGAAATTCGAAATAATGATACAACATTAAAGTAAGAAACTTTCAAGTTGGAAACAAACCTGTTGTCCCAAAAATAGTTCCTCGGGTGGCTCAAATAAACTTCCCTTGCGAATCATTCATGCATTTAGAAGGCAATAAGAAAATAAAAGTAGCCCATGCAATGAAGATCACCTACGTTACTACTTTGAGAATCAACTTTGTTGATGATACCCAAAAGGTTGTCTTATTGATACAATCAAATTCATCTTCTTTCCTTAAAAGAAGAGGTTCTTGGCCTGAGAGTTCACCCATTTTAGAATTTTCTAAAGTTGGCACCAAATACACTCTTCAGGCCTGTTCTAAATACGCACTGCTGACGGAAATGTTAGTGCAACGTCAATGGTCATGGTCTATGTCGCTGACCTATGTAGTTAATATGTACAACCCTAACAAAGTAAATGCCCAGGTTTGGTTTCAGCTCCTTTTTCTCCTACCACCCAGCACTGGCGAAAACCAACGTCCAGACTTCCTTCTCCACTTGCAATCAATCCCCATGACGGTAAAAATTTGTTGAGCCACACCAATCTAATTGGTAGATGTGAGTGGCGATTCAGGTTCATCGCAAATTATGTTGCTAATTAAACAGATGAGAATGATATTCCTTAAAAGAATACGTTAACTTGCTCCTGATTCATAGGGGTTGACTAAAACCAAGGCAAACACATACTATAAGATATTTCGAAGCATCACATTAAGGATAGTTATTACCAATAAACTGTTATTACCAATAAACTAACTTGCACTGATAGCGCACATAGACAAACGTGCTGCTTCCTTTTGGATATTTATCCACATAAGTAAAATGTCAACTTTCAGAACTGTTTTGTAGCTAACACACTTTAATGAGACCAGCATTTCTTTGTAAACTACGCGTTTGAGCTACTAAAACCAAGGAAATTGATTTTATTATCAACAGACTTTACAAATTTAGAGCTACAAGTGGTGAACCTTATACTGATTCTCAAACACTAGCACGATAAGTTTCTTCTAAGACATTTAATTGGTCAAGATATCACAATTCGAATAGAATTTAAATCCTTGTGTACTCTTTTATAGCCAAGACGTCACAATTTGAATAATTTATTACGAATTTGAGTCCTAGTGTTATCCTGTACCTCAAGCAAGTTATTTCTCTCACCTGTTTACCGGGTGAAATGAAAAATACTAGCACAACAAAATAAACTGTACAATTGCAAAGTTATACCTAAAAACAATCATGGCAATGATCAAGGCAAATTTAGTACCTCTCAGCTGATGTATTGAAAAGCAACTATCTTTCCTTTTTTGTTTTGTTTTGATTGATTGGTAAATTTGAACCTAATTGCCTTAAACAAACAGTTCTCAGAGTATTCGGGGACTATCAGCTGCAATATGTAGGTGATGTTATGTTGATTTTTGATACAAAAACTCAACACAGGAAGCAAATTCACAAACAAGAATATCGAGCATCTTGATTTTGGCAAACTGAGATCATTTGGGGCAAGACCCCCGCAGCCCTGCACTACAGATCAACTATTCGTATGCTCCCAGTTTTATTCTGTATCAGCCAAAAACACTCAGCAATTCTATGTTGTATGATCCATGTCCAATTGTCCATTCATATCCTAGATATTATTTGACAGTATATTGTCTTTGTTATGATAGTACTGCTCCTGGAATTGTCAAATCTGCAACACAACAAAAGCAACTACAACCCTTTTAAACACAAGGAAGTCACTAACAGCTCTTGATTACCTTATTGGTAGTTGATGGCAAGAAGAGAGACTTGGGAATATGGCACAGCTACTCCTAAGAAAATTCAACAAATACCGGCAATCTCTTTCTTTCAGAAAGACCATAGAGAACAGTCTGTATATGAGCATCAACATCTTCTCTGGAAGGACATTTTTCACCAGAAGAAGGCAAAGAAACCTCGATATTATCATCCAAGGGAGACCAGTCAGTGCCAGAGATAGCAATTGTGGAGGTGGTGGAACTAGGGCTACTGTCGCTGCTTGGGGGCTCTTTATCTTTAATAGACACGACTTTTTTAACAGTAGTAGGCGTGGCCATTGCTGCTGATTCTGTTGAAGACACGGCTGAGTTGACCTGGTGATGAACAGATCGGCCCCTCGGTCCATATGCACGTGATCCTGAACTGTATGACCTGCTGCTCAGTGCCTACAAAGCATAACCATGTGAAGATAGATGATCACTTCACAATGAACTTTAATTCATACATTAAAATCCTAAAAAAGATAAGTTCAGCAGTAAATACATTTAGTTAAATTGTTAATACCTCAGATTGATTCCTGTTGGCGAAAGCAGTTGGGCGTAAATCTTCTTTTCCGTGTACGAACTGTTTAATTGAAGGATAAATGTTTTGAGTTGTGGATTTTAGTAAAGTTGACTAATGTCAAAACTAGAAAGTTGATCTCAACCGTACAATGAGTGCAAGAATATTCCAGAAGCATTGGACCATATTCTTGAGAAAGAGAGAGAGAAGAAAGAGAAGAGAGAGACCCGGCATTTGGAACCAAAGCGGCACGTGGAGGTATCCCCCCACCACCGACAAACATCCGACTTGTGAGAGCTATTTTCACTTCCTGATGTTGACGACGACAACCTTCCGGAATCTGACGTTGACGGCAACGATTTAGCTCTTGCACTATATTTCGGCTCAACGAGAATGCCGTCCATGACTACCACATCCTCTTCGACTTTCACCGGAGTCCTGAAAGCCGGCGGAATCTCGATGTTCTCAATCGAAGCTAGAGGCGAACGGAAAACGCCGGCGGCGGCGGAACCGCTTCTGCTTCCGCTGCTACTATTGACCAGAGAACGACGCTCCGGCGAATCGCTGGCAAACGGCACCGGCGAGCTGGAATGAAGGTATCGGGCTAGCGGAGAGAGTACTCTATTGGAAGAACTACCAGAACTATCTGAAGAAGAGTAAGGATCGAGGATCCGAGGTTTTGGTCCAGGATAAAAACGGCCACGGCCGATGAAGTTTTGAGTGTTGATTGGTGAAACATCCAAGGATCGGACTTTGGAAGCTTGCGAATCGTTACTTTTACCGTAAAAAAAATCCATGCTTTCTTCAAATTCTTCTGCAATCACAAACCACAAGCTTATAACATCATAGAAAAACCCTAATTTAAATCGAATGGTACTATTAATTAAACATCTTTACACTAAAGTTTATCGCTCTGACTTTCGATCTCGATTTTTGAGTATGAGCTCCCGCCAAATTTTCAAACTTAATTGTTAGAAGAAATCAAGTCGGAATATCGGATAATATATATGAGAATGATAAATTCATGAGGAAATTTAGGATAAATACGATTAATTAAGAAGAGAACCTCAGTAAGATCTGAGTTTTTCTAATCATTACCGCTACCGTGAAAAGTTCATCGAAATTCTAGCGATCACAATTCAGAAGCACATAAAATTCAAAAATTTTAACGCAAATGAACATATTAAAACCTAAAATCAGTTCGCTCACTTTCGAGATTTGAGTTTTGAGTTTGACCTCTTGCCAAATGTTCAAAGTTTACTGAATCAGAATCGAGGCGCAAAAATCGGATAACATATATGGAAATGAGGCATTAATGCGGAAATTAACGATAAATTCAATCAACTGAGAAGAGAACCTCAAAGGAGATGTGAATTCATTCATGCAGATTCGTGAATGTTCTTCGAACTTTGATTGCGAATATCGTATGCGTGCGAATTCTTAGTATTTTGAACTTCAGAGAATGTTTGTGCTGGGTATTTACAGATTCTAATGATAGTGATTTTATGAGCCCTAATTCTTAGTTATGAAGAAGACGTGGTATTTATAGGATCCGTCAACAGTCTTCTCTTTGGAGGGACAGTGACCGCCAAAACAGAGTCTTCATTTTGAGTAACAGCTTGTTTGAAAACATATTTATTTTATTATTTATTTAAAATTGTTGTGGTTAAATTCATTATTATGGAATAATCAAAAGTCCCATTTTTTTTTCTTTTTTAATTATGCTCTTACTTAGTACTTTATAATTCTATTTTATCATTTAATTTTTTTTTTATTTTAACTCCAAATGTCCAATCTATTGACCTACTTTGTCTTCTTCCATCTTTTCTAGAGTCCCGTTCTTTTTATTAACCAAGTCTCCGTTCGATTATTTGTCTCTTTTCATCGTTTTAATTTTTCTTTTGTGTTGCTAATATTAGTTAACATTTTTTTTCCAGGTTTTTGCTCTTGTTTCCAAGCTACGTAATTAATGAAAAATTAGTAGAAAGTTTTAAATTATTTTTATGTGTAATTCTTGATAAATTTTATTTAAAATAATTACGGATATTTTAGTGAAATTATCAGTTACAGTACTGTAGAATACAGTCAAGCCAAACAACAAAAATATTATTTAACAACAGCAAACGATACAATCCATTCAAACGTTACATCCATAAAACGATACAATACAATACATCACAGTACAATATAATACAATACATTAAAAAATGATGGGTAACAATGATCCAAACATAGTGTAAATTACATGGGTGGTCATTCATTCATTCATTCCTCAAAAGTCACTTTTCTATATAAAAATTATTCAACTTTGTGTTCGTTACCCAAATGTCATTTTTCTTTCTTTGCTTACACAAAAATTATTTTACTTTGCTCTATTTATCACAAAACTCACATTGGCCAGATTTTATAATACTTTTACTTGAAAAGTCTATTATGTCCTTGACATTATAAATCCTCTCATTTATGTAATACCTTCTATATTATATACTATATAAAATATTTTTACCTAGGTATTTTACTTATAATTAAAATAATTTTAAATTATTTTATTATTATTTTTAATATATATCCATACATTTAATTTTTTCATGGCACTCAATTTGTTTAATTATATTCAAATATGAACATTTTTTAAATATAAAAATAATAATAAAATATTTATTTTTAATATTCATTTAAAATAATAAAAGCTGATTTGTTTAACAAATGATAGTTTTTTTGTGGTCAATAAAATTTTTAAAAGAAGTTTCAAAAATATTTGTGTATAATATTAAGTTTTTTAAAGCTTTATATGTTAATATTATTTATTTGAAAGTATTAATATGATGTGTTATTTTGCTAAATATGGGCATTTTATTTACAGCTTGTTTGGGTGGTTGTTACGTATCGTTTCATAATGTATCGTATCGTATCGTATTGTATTGTACTGTATCGTTTGATGAATACAATGTTTGGATGGATTGTGTCGTTTTGGCGTCGTTTCATGGTATCACGCACCTGTGATATGATGAATAAACTTGCAATATTATAAAGAAAAATTATGATACGGTATATAAAAAGGTAGGGTAAATGATAAAATAAAATTATTTAATAATAATGAAGGGTGAGATTGAGAGAAAAACATAAGGAAACGACGCGACCACACCAAATCGTTCGTTACATAAAGTGGCACATTTCTTTGTTACGTAACGACGGATTTAACGATACGATACAATAAAATTTAAGTAACAATCAAAACAAACATTGTATTTAAAGTAACAATACGATACGATACGATAGGTAACAACCATCCAAACAAGCTGTTATTAAATTAATGGTATAGGTTGGTTGATAAATCAATGAGTTTGATTTTTTAATTCTCATAAACATATTTCATTAAGCATGATTAAGAATGTGGACTTGAGATTTGTTCACGGTAATGTTATGTCACGATCCAAAATCCACTAAAGGTCGTGATGGCGCCAGATACCACTGTCAGACAAGCCAACAATAAATAATTAATTTGGTTCTCTTTTTAGTATTTTCGAAATCGTAGTTTTCCTTCAATTAAATAGTAGAAGATGGAAATTTAAGAGTAAATAATAACTTTTTCATAATCTCAATACTGAATAACCCATAATCATCTCAGAATCCAATGTCACAAGTGCATGAGCATTTACTAGAAAATAAATAAAATACAACAACTGTCCGGAATACAAATTTGGACAGGAAAGAAAATGCAAACACTCTGAATGAGACTTTGTTGGCTGCGGATCGTAACATGGAATATAGGTCACCTAAGTCCCCGCATCAACCATGTTGCTGTGCCCACAAGGCCACTGAACATACATGTGCTTGTACAACAAAATGTACAGCAAGTGTAGTATGAGTACGAAAATAACGCTTACCCAGTAAGTATCCAGTCTAATCTCGAAGAAGTAGTGACGAGAGGTCGACTCCGACACTTACTATGGCCAACAATAATATACCGATAATATGTCTAATCATGGATTTTATAAGATGACTGTAAACTCAATAACATGAAGCAGGTAAACAATTCTTTTGTTAATAGGAGATATTCAAATTTATTTTCATCTTTTAATAATTTATATCTCCGGCCTATGAGGCCACATCAATTGTCAATAATTCCAAAACAATCAGTTAAGTCATGCGCAAATCATGCAGAGGTCGTACGGCCCGATCCAACGTAATATTTAAACGGTGCACTGCCGGAGGGTTGAACGGCGCGAACTGTAGATGCATCTATTTAATCTGCCGAGGCGTTCGGCCCGTTCCACGAAAAGGAAAACACAATCAAATAGTCAAATCAAGAATTCATCAAGGAGAAATTATCCAAGGAATGTAAATCACCTATTACCGGTCAAGAAAACTAAGTTTAACATTCTAGAAATTCATTTATCAAGTTCGGTATGATTTAAGCAATTTAAATTGACAATAAGGTCACAAATATCACAAGTATAGCATGCTTTTGGGTTCTAAACTACTCGGACTTCAGCATAATAGTAGCTACACACGGACTCGTGTCACCTCGTGCGTACGTAGCCTCCACAAATAGAAACACATATCGAATTATTTCACCTATGGGGTTAATTCCCTCTTACAAGGTTAGAAAGGAGACTCACATCACCTCAAAGCCCACTTTCCAGTCCAAGATTATGCTCAAACCCTCAATTCGGCCAACTCAATACTTAATTTAGCTTTCCCTTTACCAATTCACCAATGTTCGGCTCAATCTAGCCAAAGACGACTTAAATACATCAAACAAAACAATGCAAGAGAAAATAATTTTAATTAACAAAGCTATGATCCTTACACAACTTGCAAAAAGTCAACAAAAGTCAACTCCCCCGGCCCACAGCTCAGAACCCGATAAAATTTACAAACCCGAACAACCATTCCGATACGAGTTCTACCATACTAAAATTATCAAATTCCGATACCAATTTGTCCTTCAAATCATCATTTTATATTTTGAAAGATTTTACAATTTTTCCCAAATTTTTCTTTAGATTCTCATGGATTTTGATGTTAAATCTAAGGTATAATCACAAATATATTTGAAAATTGGTTTGAGGCCTTACCCAATGATTTGATACGAAAATCCTTTCTCAAAATCGCCCACTCCCGGACCTAGGGTTCAAAATATGATAAAATGAAGCAAAAACCCGAGTTATACGGCTAAAAACAAGCTACGGATGTCACATTTGCGATCGCGAACCCTTGTAATTGCGAACAAGAACATGGCAGGAAAAGGTCGCATTTGCGACAAAAAGTTCGCAATTGCGAACTGGGCATCGCAATTGCGACCACACCAGAAACCAACAGTTTTCTTGACAAATGGGCATAACTCTCTCATACGATGTCCAAATTCGACGATTCTTTTTTATATGACTCCATAATTACAATACGGCTCTAATGGTTCAATAAAATTGAATTTTGAGTTCATTTTCTTAATGTGGTACCATTTATGCTTGAAGAAACGACGACGAAGCATCAAAAACAAGTGCAACACAACCTAAACATATCTGAAACTCACCCGAGTCCCCAAAGCTCCAAACCAAACACCCACACAAGTCTAAAAACATAACACAAACTTTCCTGAGGCCTTAAATCATATCAAACAACGTCAAAACTATGAATCTCACCCCAAATCAAGCTTAATGAACTTTAAAACTTCAAACTTCTACATTCGATGCCGAAACCTATCACTTCACGTCCAATTGACCTCTAATTTTGCACACAAGTCACATTCAACAGTACGGACCTACTCCAACTTCTGGAATCGGAATCCGACCCCGATATCAAAAAGTCCACTCCCAGTCAAACTTTCCAAAAATCTTCAAATTTCCAACTTTCGCCAAATGACCCCGAAATGACCTACAGACCTCCAAATCCACTTCCGGACGCACTCCCAAAACTAGAATTACCATACGGAGCTATTCCCAGACTCGGAATCCCAAAAGGACATTGATAACATTGAAATGAACTCCAACCCAAATTTAGGAAATCTTTCCAAAATGCCAACTTTCCACAATAGGCGCCGAAACGCTCCCGGGTCATCCAGAACCCGATCCGGACGTACGCCCAAGTCAAATATCATCATACCAACTTGCTGGAACTTTCAAATCTCGATTCCGAGGTCGTTTACTCAAAAATCACACCTTATTGAATTCTCCCCACTTAAATCTTTCGAAATGAGAATTTTCTCTCTAAATCAACTCTAAACTTCCCGAAACTTAATTCCCACCACACGTACAAGTCATAATACCTGAAATGAAGCTACTCATGGTCTCAAACTGCCGAACGATGCGCTAGAGCTCAAAATGATTGGTTGGGTCGTTACATGTTATTGATAAATTTAATAATGCTACTTATATATATTGAAAATTAATATTAAGAAAATATTAAATGTAAGGATATATTATAAAAATAATAAAATAATTAAGATTATATTAAGTTATATTAATTATAAGTAAAATATCTAGGTAAAAGTATATACTATATAATATAGAAGGTATTACATAAATGGGAGGATT